ATGATTAGCACTACAACAAGATAAAGGTAAATAATGCAATAGAAGAATGGGCACAGAATCTGAACAGACACTTCACCGAAGATGACATTCAGATGGCTAACAAGCACATGAGGAAATGTTCAAAATCCTAGCTCTAAGAGAGATGCAAATCAAAACAACTGAGATATCGCACCCAGGTAAGAATAGCAAAATTTAACAGAACAGCAAGGAACAAATGCTGGTGAGGTTGTGGAGAAACTGGAACCCCTTATTCACTGTTGGTGGGAGTATAAAATTGTGCAACCACTGTGGAAGGCTTTCTCAAAAAGTTGCAAATAGAGATACCATTTGACCCAGCAATTCCACTACTGGGAATATACCCCAAAGAGACCATAACTGACATCCAAGGAGATACATTCACACCCATGTTTTCACAGCTTTGTTCACAATAGCAAGGAGTTGGAAACAACCTAAGTGCCCAACAACAAACAAATAGAGAAGCTGTGGTATATTCATACAATGGAATACTATGCTGCATTGAAAAACAAGGGACTCATGCAATATTATTCAAAATAGTGAGCCTAGAGGACATTATGGTGAGTGAAGTATCTCAGTCACAAAAGGACAAATATTGCAAGGTGCCACTGTTGTAAAGCAGGATATCAGGGTTGAGAGGAGACTGAGAAGGATGGGTTCAATAATGTATACTGCATTGAAACAGATGAAGGAGAAAACTGTTTAAGAGGAAAATTATTGTAGCCTAGTGGCAGGAAGCTGTACTGCAATCCCAGAGGCATACGGTTCAAATCCACCAGATGCTCTGCTGGAGAAGGAGGGACAGTCTCCTCCTGTACCAGTCAGATACTATATGACGGTACACACACAAAAAATAATAATTAAAAAAATAAATTTTTTTAAAAAGAGAGAAAATTATTAGATATTTTTATCATGACAGGAGTCCAGAGCGAAGGCTGTATAGTGGAGTGGACCTGGGGACAGGGATTGTAAAATAGTGAAAGAATTTTTCTTTTACTTTTCCAAGAGGCGAAGGTACTAGGGAGGAGCGTTGGGAGGGGAGAAAAGTGCAACAATGAATGGATGGAAATCCAAAGTCTCTGTAAATTTTCATTGAAATGAATAATAATTTTTAAAAAAATTTTAAATTAAAAAAGCTTCCAATAGAGATACCATTTGACCCAGCAATTCCACCACTGGGAATATACCCCAATGAGACCATAACCGCCACCTAAGCACACCCATGTTTATCGCAGCTTTGTTCACATAGCAAGGAGTTGGAAACAACCTAAGTGCCCATCAACAAACACATGGATGGAGAAGCTGTGGTATATTCACAAAATGGAATGCTACGCTACATTGAAAAACAAAGAACTCATGCCATATTATTCAAAATGGGTTACCCTGGAGGACATTATGCTGAGTGAAATATCTCAGTCACACAGGGACAAATACTGCATAGTGCCACTGTTGTCAAATGGGACTGAGGAGATACTGAGAAAGATGGGATAAATAATGTATACTGCATTGAAACAGGTGAGGGAGAGAACTGTTTAAAGGGGATATGTGATTGGGTATTATTGTCATGAGGGAGTCCAGAATGAAGGCTGCATAGTGGAGTGGACCTTGGGGGAGGGATTGTAAAACAGTGAAAGAATTTTTCTTTTACTTTTCAAGGAGAAGAGTGTGGTGGGGGGGGGGGGCGAGTGGTGGCAGGAGGAAGAGTGTAACAATATATGTATGGAAATCTAAAGTCCCTGTAAATTTTCATTAAAATTAATAATAAAAAAATATAAATTGGTACAATAAAAAAATAAAAAGTAACACATAAAAAATAATATATGATTAAGCATTGTTTGCATGACAATAATCCAGAATAAAAGGTTCATAGCAAAGTGGACTGGGGTAGGGTGGAGGGAAGAAATTGTGCAACAATGAATGAATTTTTTAAATAGAAAAGCTAACTGGGGAGGGGGGATTGGGAGGAAAATGTGCAACAGTGAATGACTGGAATTCCAAATTTTCTGTAAACTTTAGTTAAAAAAAAAGAAATCTGAAGTTTAAAACTTGGGAGATTAAAACATTAGAATGATAAGAGTAAAAGCAAATCAGTTGAACAGACCAGTGAATTATAGGACAAATTCCTTAAAAGTATTGTATGATGTACCTTTTTATTCATAGGATTAGTTTGTCCATTCGGCAAGGGATAGAAATAGCGATAGTATTTTGGAGTGATTAGTATGGCAGAAGAATGAATGATTGAAAAGGTAACTGGAAATTAAATTAAGAGGTTATGTTAGAAATCCACATTGGCATTAAAAACAATAAATGAAAATGGAACTCAGAATGAAGAAAAATAATTAACTGATGAAAAATAACAGAGTGAAAGGAGAAGTTCAGTGATATTCCGTCTATTATGTTTCTATATGTAAGGAGTTTGCTGCATTATTTAAAAGTATGATCCTGTCATAAATAAAGTGAAAACATTTCAAAATGTTTTATTTAGACAATAACCTAAGCTGTTAAAGTGAACTATAACATCTCCATTCAATTTTTATTGGATACCTAAATATATTTAAAGAGTGTTTAAAAAAAAAAGTATTGTATGATGAAAAAAGCAATGAGGCATTTTAAAGTATTTTTTAAGAAACTATTCTCATTATTTCATAGTCATGCATAGATGACTCATACATAGTCATCTGCAGAAGTTATTCTGTCAATTGTTGGTATATAATATGAAAGGGAAAATTCTGTAGCAAGACTCCAACACTAACAATCTTGACCTAGCCTGTATATTTATTTTGGCTTGGTAAATACAATTATTCAACAGCTTCCTCATAGCTTCTGTGAATTATGATTATAAGCACAGTTAATCTTTTAAATTCTTCTTTCCTCACTTCCCATAAGCATATCTAGCATTTACACCTGTCATGTGCAGACTTTTTATTATGAACCTAAGATTTAATTTCTGTTGTTGTTGTTGTTGTTGTTATGTGCCGTCGAGTCGCTTGCAACTCATAGCAACCCTATGTACAACAGCCCTAAACTCTGCTCTGTCCTGTGCCAATCGCACTGTCTCTGACACTCCCATCCCAATTATCCCAGTCACTGAATCAATCCACTTTATAGAGGGCTTTCCCCTCCTGCGCCGTCCCTCCACCCTCCCAAGCATGATGTCCTTCTCCAAGGACCGGTCTCTTCTCACAACATGTCCAAAGTATGTAAGACGGAGCCTCAGAATCCTTGCCTCCAAGGAGCCACTGGTTTAACCCTTTCCAGGACAAATCTGTTTGTTTTCATAGCAGTCCATGGTATTCTCAGTACTCTTTTCCAGCACCACAGCTCAAAGGCATCAATTCTCCTTCTATCCTCCTTGGTCATTGTCCAACTCTCTGATGCATAACAAGTGATTGTGAAGACCATGGCCTGTATCAAACGCACCTTAGTCTCCAGAAAGACACCATTGCTCTTCAGTACTTTGGAGAGGTCCCTAACAGCAGACTTTCCCATGGCAATGCGCCTTTTAATTTCCTGGCTACTGGTGCCAAGAGTGTTGACTGTGGAGCCAAGCAAACTAAAGGTGTATACAATCTCAATCTCCACCATCCATCCTGATGCTGCCAGTTGGTCCAGTGGTGAGAATCTTTTTTCCATGCACTTTGTGTAAACAGTTCCCACAAGAATTTCCTTAACTTCTTCCCCTTTTCCAGATGATGGGCAAAGTAAGCTCTGGTCTTTTTATCATTTCTTCAATGTACTAGTTATTTCTTTTTCATTTTTTTAGAGCACTAGCATCATAGTGAGTAGGGAATTGTGTTGCAAATCCAAAGGTGGACAGTTCAAATTAACCAGCTATCCCTAAGGAGAATTTCAGGCACTCTTCTGTGCAATTTACAGCCTACTAGAGGGTCAGCTAAGAATTGGTTCTGATTTGACAGCAATGAGATGTTGAGTTTTTATAGTGAATTTTTTTAGATTATTATTGTTGTTGTTGTTTGGGTGAATGTTTACAAGTCATATTGTTTTTCATATAATCATTCATATACAGATATTTTGCTTTATAACATTACTTACCGTTCATTAATGTAATTAAATAGAGTGTCTAATCAACCTCATGTTGTATATTGCCTTTCCCTTCATCCAGCTCACCTATTTTCATGCATTTGTAGTAGAGACTTGCATATGCCTTTGATATGGTCCAAGTTTCAGTGGAGCTTCCAGACTAAGATGAACTAGGAAGAAAAGTCTGGCAATCTGTTTCTGAAAATAGGCCAATAAAAACCCCATAGATGACAACAGTGTTCCACAACCAGTTATGAAAAGGTTACAGGACTGGGTGGAATTGTATTCATTCGTGCTTGAGGTCACCATGAGTTAGAGGGGACTCAACAGCAGCTAACAGGAATACACACACATTTAGCACAAAACATTGGTCATTTCCGTCTGGACACTTCAATGACATTAATTATGTTCATCATCTTGTTCAACCAGCATCAGTGTTTCCATATTTTCCCATCACTCTGAACATTTCATGTTTATATTCCAGTTGTGAGAGCATTATTTACTTGCTGATAAATAATTCAGATATGACTTATCTTAAAAATAAAAATCTAGTGGTCTAATCTACAGGGTATTACACTGTTAGCCAGAAGGTTTTGGATAGCCAACAAATTAATGCCACCAGTGCCCACTGGGGGGAAAATAGAAGTCTCCTCGTAATGACTAGTTACAGCTTCATAAACTCTATGGAGGGGTTGACTTGACTGCAATGAGTGAGCAAAAGTAAGGAAACATCATGTATAGTGGTATATACAGCACTTATATTACAACAGAATGCCAGCTCCATCAGTACAGAGACTGTCTGATTCCTGCTGTATAGAACAGGGACTGGAAGAGGACCTAGAGCAAAGAGTTCTAACAAATACTTGATTATCAATATTTTATGTCACTTTTACCATTCTGTTTTGTTTTATTTTACTTTTTTTATTTGCCCAACAAAATCTTAGAGAAATCTGCTGCCCGTATCCAATTCAACATCCCTACAGCACCCACATCTCTCGTTATGCCATGTTCCCAACCTTCACGTCACCCAAGGACCTCTACTCGGGCATTAAAGCACGCTCTCAACAGCCATTTCCCCCAACTGTACCAACAAAGCCGTATGATACAACAGTTTTGAAGGCAAAAGGTAATATGTGATTTGGAATTAGAACAATACTCATTCTTCTTACTATTCAGTTTATCCAAGCAAAATAAATCGTTGCATGTGTAGACAGACTATTTCTCTATCTCCTTTAGCTTTTATGATCTCTCTCTTAGGAAATATTTACATTCTTTTTTTCCCTGGAGGAAGATATAACCTGTTCTTCCTGTTTGACTTTTTCCAAACAATATGCCGAATCTTCCTTTATTTTACAAAATACCTCCTTAAATTAGCCAGTCCTTTATTCCTGGAAGTTCAGTGGGTGAGACATTCAGCTGCTAACTGAAATGTCAGTGGTTTGAACTCACTAGTTTTCCACAGGAGAACGGTCTGTTCCCATAAAGATTTATAGCTCAGAAGCCCAATGGGGTGGTTCTCCTTTTTCCTGGAGGGTTGAAATGAGTCAGAATCTACTTTGACAGTAGTGAGTTAAAATTGTTTTATTTCCTTTTGAACAGTCAAGCTTTTCTAACAAAATAATGCTAATTTTGATGTCCAGTTTAAAAAAAAAGTAATTCAAGTACTCAAGGAGCACAGAAAATCAAAGTAACAAACATGTGACTTCAGTAGTAGGTAAGGAGAGTGATTCACAGCCATGGTTGCACTTTCGATTCAGCTGAAACCTCACCACTGCTAATATTCATCAGATTATCAGATTCTCTGTGGAGGCTCCTAACCTTTCTACTTCCTCACAGCCTTCCATGGAAAATCAAAAACCAAACTTTGTGGAATTGGTTCTTTTTATTCTACTTACATTTTCTATATTTCCTTTCCTTCCTGGTTTTGCCTTTGATTTAACTTTTTAAAATTCTATCCTAGGTTAGGTGATCAGCACAAAGGACAGTGTTTGGTTCAGCCAGCTCATTGAGGTCTAGACCTAGAGATAATAGTAGAGACTGCACTGAAAGATTGTTCTGGTTTGAAGACTCAAAATAATGGGAGTATTGTGTTCAGTTCCTTTTGCCACCCACAGATGCAACCTTGGGGTTTGTTTTATTGGGATATATTTTATTAAGAAGCACAGCAAACTCATTCACCAGTCATCAGCTTTCTCACACCCTAAACACCTCAACTTTTGTTGCAGAAGTCTGCATGTATATTAAAACAGGAAAAAACAAACAAAACAAAACAACAACAAAAAAAAACTCTGGATAATGAGGATTCCAGAAACAAAGGGGTAACAAGGTGACAGAAAAAGTCCATGCTATGCAAAAAAAAAAAAAAAGTGGATGAATGAGCTAAGTTTAGGAGGTTAGCAAGATGGGCCTGTGACACAATATTTAGACCAAAATTTTATCATCATCAATGTCAACTTTAGAACTTAACTAGAACACAGTAGCACTATGAGAGACCGAATAGTGGAGTGTTTAGGAGCTTAAAGTCTCAAGTTTAGACTATGCAAGTAGAATTTTGGAACTGCCACTTACTGTGAACCATGGAAAAGTTGTTTACCATTTCTTCCCTTGTTTCCAAATTTATAAAATGGGAGCATTTCTTCATAGATAAAAGTGTTCACAGTTGTTGTTTTTGCTACCATATGCAATGGTTTTACTCTCATATATAATGTCCCAGTATATGTTACACTATGCTGAACTTCCCGTTAGGCCAGTTAGGATTAATGAAAGTTATCACATTTATTGTTTTTTAAAAAAATCTAAAGATAGGTAACTTTTAATGTAAGTAAAATGTTATAAGATATTAAAGTTTAAATCATCATGAGATTTTTCCACAGCATAATGTATAAAAATTTGCAAAACTTCCTGTACAAAATAGTAAAATCTTTACTTTTTGAACAGGTCGTTCAATAACACGTCAGTAATCATCTCCAGGTTCCTCAAGGCTTTCTTCTAGCTGGTCGTGTTGCATCTTATGTCTCTTTGGCTCATCTGATTTGTTTGTTCTTGACAAGATCCCTCTGCCTTTTCCTATATGGGCTGATGAGTCCTCTTTTCTTTCAATACCCAGTGTGTAGCTTCTGTATTGTTCAGCATTACTCAGTTACCAATAGTCAAAGAATTTCATAAACCCTTCTTACATTTGTGTGTGTAGGACTGTAGTATCGTGAACTGAAGGAGAGTTCATATAGTATTTATAAACCGTTTCACGAAGTTGAGCACCATGACCTTGACCTTAAAATGGAGTCAGTATGAGCATTTGACTTAAATGGGGCCAGGTTTTGTCTGGGTACATATAGTCAATATAGACTGTCATGTAGCTCCATCCTTATATTTCTCAAATACTAGAAAGAAGTACCATCTTTCATCATCCACGTCAGTATAAAGCTAGATGTTTCAATAAATCCCATCAAAAAGGTCTGAAGCCTTCCATGATATTCTTGAAAGCCTCTGCATGCCATGTCAGACTTGTAAATCTGAAAGGTAAAGCTTTCTCTTCCTATTGGACTGAGAACAGAATGGGAATGAAGTAAGTTTCTAAATGGTTTTAAATCAACTTCGTTTCCCAACAAAGAAAGAAAATCTTTTGTGTTGGTGCAAAATCCAGGTGGAATGGTCTCCCTGACTTTACCTTTAACATCATCTGCCTCCACACAAAGTTTTCATCAACTTTAGATGTCTATTGAACACGAAACTTTGTGTACAAGCTACCAGCAATATAATAGAAAAGGATCTTCAGACCTTTGTAATCAAAAGCAGTCTTATCATCCCTAAAGAGTTGGTGGGTTACTCAGGAAAGAAAGTTCTAATGTCATTCTCAAGATCTTCAGGAAAACAAACCAATTTTAGTTCAGTTGCTGTGTTGTTAGTACATTGTTACTGTGCCAGTTTCTTCCCCACTGCACTCTTATTTATATTCAACCAAAAATTTTATCTGCGAGCACCCGTGGCTGAGAAAGGATAAATCTTTACTGACTACTTACTGCTGAGTCCAATCCTTGGTTATATGTGGGTAGTGAGGTACAGAGGCTGGTAATGGGAAAGAACTAAAAGATATGATACCTAAACAATTGACATTTTTGTAGCTTGTTAGATTCATTGTCAAATTATATTTCTTTTCTATATTTAAACTAGATAATGTCTGAAGTTATATGAAGTACACACAGCAGCAAACTATAGAATTGTATGCTGGATTTCTTTTTTAACATGACAAAGCACTTTTTTTCAGTGCAGCTGTAGATAATGGACTGCTTCTAAGCATGTCACTCTGACGGTCACTCTGAGATTGTTAAAAGACAAGTAGATGTGAATTGTTGGTAGGTTCCATCAAGTGAATATGACTCAGCAACCCTATGAACAACAGATATGAACCTTGTCCTATCTGGTGCTATCCTCATAATCTCTGACATACTAGAGACTACTGTTGCAGTCACTGTGTCAATGCATTTTGTGAAGATCTTCCTCTCTTTCACTGACCTTTCCAGGCATCCCTTTCTAAGGAATATCCTCTTTTAATAACTTTGAGTTAAATTTTATTTAATGTTGTTGTTTTTGTCTGAGTCAACTATGACTTCCAGCAACCTTATAAACAGTAGCCCTGAGCCTGCCTATCCTGAGCCAATATCACCATCTCTGACATACCTGCCCTCATTGCCACATTCACTGTCAGTCTATCTCATCCAGTGTCTTCCTCTCCTCCACTAACCCTCTACTATTCCATGCATGATGCCCATCTCCAATGACTAGTCCCTCCTGGTAGAATGCCCAAAGTACATGAGACAGAGTTTCCAAATCCTTGCTTCCAAGGAACAAACTGGTTTCATCTTCTCCAGGACAAACGTGTTTGTTCTCTTAGCAGTCTATGGTTATGTACAAAATTCTTCAACACAACTGAAAGGCATCGATTCTTCTGTCATCTTTAGTCATTATCCAGCTCTCTAATGCATAGCAAGCGAGAAGACCATGGCCTGGCTATATAATTTCAATGTTGTTGTTATGTGCCATTGAGTTGCCTGCAACTCATAGTGGCCCTATGTGCTATAACTCTGAACTTTACCCTCTCATGAGCTAGTCTCACTGAATCTCACACACCTTCCCTTATTTCCCTAGTTACTGTGTCAATCCATCTCATCTGGAATCTTCCTCTACTGTGATGTCCCTCCACCCTTCCATGCATGATGTCTTTCTCTAAAGATTGGTCTCTCCTGGCTATGTGCCCCATGTATGGGATACAGAGCTTTAAAATCCTAGCCTCCAAGGAGAAACTTGGCTTCACCCTCTCCAAGACAGACTCATTTGTTTTCTTGGTGGTGCATGGTTCAGTACTCTTCTCCAGCACCACAACTCAAAGGCCACAATTCTTCTATCATCCTTAAGTCATTATCCACCTCTCTAATGTATAGCAAGTAATTGTGAAGACCATGGCCTAGATTGACACACCTTAGTCTCTAGACTGACATCATTGCTCTTTAGTACTTTGGAGAAGTTTCTGATAGTAGACTTCCCCAATGCAATTTGTCTTTCCCCCCCCCCCTCCAACTTAGTAAAACAAATGAAAAAGGTTTATTAAGGTAATAAGACAGAGGCATAACTAGTGAAAGGTAAGCCATGCAATAGAGTAAAAGTGAAAAGGAAAGAAGGAAGAAAGAGTGAAAAACACCTGAAAACCCAAACCTTCCGGCATGCTGTCAGTAGAAAGGGGAGAAAGAGTACAATTCGTCTTTTGATTTACAGACTGCTGGTGCCAAGAGTGTTGATTATGGAGCTGAGCAAGCTGAAACTGTTAACAACCTTAATTTCTTCTCCATCTATCATGACACTGCCAGTGATGAGAATCTTTATCTCTTGATGTTGAGCTTCAATCCATATTGAAGACTACAGCCCTTGACCTTCTACAGGAAACACTCTGTGTCCTCCTCAGTTTCAGGAAGGAAGTTTGTGTCATCTGCCTAACACAGGTTGTTAACGAGTCTTCCTCCAATCCTGAGGCCACATTCCACATTCCATCTTACAAAGTCCAGCCTCCCAAATTATCTGTTACACATACAAATTGAAAAGGTATGGAAGCAGGATGCTTCCCTGACACAACTCCTTTCCTGATTTTGAACCATGATGTATTTCCTTGCTCTGTTCTGACAGCCATTTCCTTGTCCAAATATAGGTTTTACATGATGAGCCCAGTCAAGTGTTCTGGAATTCCCATTCTCCTCAAGGTTAGCCACAATTTGTTTTGATCCACACAAAAAATGACTTTGCATAGTCAATGAAACAGATAGACATTCCTCTGGTCCTCTTTGCTTTCTGCCAAGATCCATCTGACATTTGTAATAATGTCTCTAGTGCCACAGCCTCTTCTAAACTTAGCTTGCATTTCTGGTAATTCTGTCAATGTACGGCTCCAATCATTTTTGGATAATCTTCAGCAGGATTTGCTGGCATGTTATATTGTGATATTGTTTGATAATTTCCACACTCTGTCAGGTCACCTTTTTTGGAATTTTAATAATTATGGATCTTTTCCAATCAGTTGGCCAGGTAGTTTTCCTCCAGATTTCTTGGCACAACCTGGTGAGTGCATCTGGAGCATCTGTTTGTTGAAATGTATCAGTTGGCTTCTTCTACTCCCAGAAAACACCAAATGGCAGAAGATGCTGGTGCAGCAGGATGGCCCGGAGGCCCCGGGATGGGAGCCCTGGTCCACAGAGGCTTTGGTAGTGGTCTGCAGGTCAGGCTGCCGTGGACAGGGCTGTGGGAGGGGCCGCGGAGCTCGAGGAGGCAAAGCCGAGGACAAGGAGTGTTACCTTTCACCAAACTGGGCCGCCTGGTCAAAGACATGAAGATTAAATCCTTGGAGGAAATTTATCTCTTCTCATTGCCTATCGAGGAGTCTCAGATTATTGACTTTTTCCTGGGCATGTCCCTCAAGGATGAGCTACTGAAAATTAGGCCAGTGCAGAAGCAGACACGTGCTGGTCAGTGGACCAGGTTCAAGGCCTTTGTCGCCATTGGAGACTATAATGGCCATGTTGGCTTAGTTGTCAAGTGCTCCAAAGAGGTGGCTACTGCCATCTGTCGGGCCATTATCCTAGCCAAGCTCTCCATTGTCCCTGTGCTGCGTGGCTACTGGGGGAACAAAGATCAGCAAGCCTCACACCGTTCTCTACAAGGTGACTGGGCGCCGTGGCTCTGTGTTGGTGCTTCTGATCCCTGCACCCCAAGGCACTGGAATCATCTCGGCCCCTGTGCCCAAGAAGCTGCTGCTGATGACTGGAATTGATAACTGCTATACCTCAGCCAGGTGCTGCACAGCTACCCTGGGCAACTTCGCCAAGGCCACCTTTGATGCCATCTCCAAGACCTACAGCTATGTGACCCCAGATCTCTGGAAAGAGTCTGAATTCATCAAGTCTCCCTACCAGGAATTCACTGACCATCTTGTAAAAACTCACACCAGAGTCTCTGTGCAGAGGACTCAGGCTCCAGCTGTGGCCACCACGTAGTGGATTTTTATATAACAAGTAAAATGAATTAAGTTAAAAAAAAAACACAAAAAGAAATATGTCAGTTGGTATTCTATAAGTTCCTGGAGCCTTGTTTTTTGCCAATTCCTTCAGAGCAGTTTGAAATTTTTCCTTTACCATCATCTCTTCTTGATCATCTGTTGTTTAATGAAATTCTGTCAGCAAGTCCTATTTGGTTTAGTGAGTCTGTGTAATCCTTCCATCTTCTTTTTTTTTGGGGGGGGGGGAGAGCATGGCTTTTAAAAACGGTTTTCTTTTACTATTTTTAAAAATTTTATTTGTGTTTTCCATCTTCTTTTACTGCTTCTTGAATAATTCAATATTCTGCCCATAGAGTCCTTAAGTATTGTAACTTGAGTACTTGTCTAAGAACAAGTTCTGTGTTATATTTTCTACCCTTACATTTGTTTTAAATCCATTGAAAATAAGAAGCGAGTGCCAGTTTTAGAACCAGATTGCTTGAATTATTAGCAAATAAGAACTAATTTTTTAAAAAACTTCTTTATATTAAGGTAGAGAGATGCCAATATAGAATGATCCTTCAGAGACTAGAAAGAGGATCCATGAAGATTTATTTCCATAAAGATATCACTCTTATGAACAAGAAAGGGAAAGTAATAGTGCCCCATAAGACTCTTGGGTGGTGCAAATGGTTAAAGTGCTAGACTTTTAACTAAAAGGTTCACAGTTCAAACCCACCCAGAAGTAAGGCCTATGATCATGAACTTGATAGCTTTCTGGAATAGCTCTACTCTGAATAGATGTTGCTGTCAAGAGTCAGACTGACTCAGCAGCAACTAATAAAACAGTACAGTATTGCTGAGGGAAACACAGAGACTGTGCATGGTTCACATTGTTCTTATCACACTGTAGCTTATTATTCTTATTCAAGAATTCAAGAGCCAGTTGCAGCCAAAAGCTATGAGTGTACATCTGTAATGTGCACCAGCATTCCTCTCTCCCTGGCATTAGCTTGTTTGTATTTATTGTATCTATTAAAGTGCAGGAGCTTGAAGCCTGTTCTGATTTATTCTGCATTAAAATACTTTCCCTTAAATTTTCAGGTAATCCTTATAGATACGAACTGGTTGATTTCCCCTCAGATTCAAAGAAGAAAGCTTTGACTTGGCCTGGTCAATGTTTATATTATGATGTAAGTATCTTTGTAAATGTGTGTTTAAAGCAAAGTGAAAATCTTTTTGTCCAATAACTTTATAAATGCTGAAAAGACTGTATGTTTTTATTTTCTACATAAATTAAACATTTAAGCCTTCTAGAAAAGACTTCATTATGTCTTTGAAAAAAAAATACATTAAACTTTAAATATGAATACCTATTTGGCAGAATGGTAAAAGTTAATGAAGAAAGGAATAGTATCTGCCTTCAACCTCAAATTTCCTTTGTCTTCTTTCCCTGTGGAGATAATGTATAAGTTCTACTAAATGTTATTAATACCCATAATCTTTGTATTCATGTTCTAGTTGCCTAAATGTATTGAGAAAAATAAGCAAATATTCTACCCAAAACCTCCTAAAACCTTCGCACCTAACACTTCTTTATGTTCATGGGATCCGATTAATTCTCTAAAAGAAGCCAACATACAAAGAAATCTTGAGAGGTCCCATTGGCTCACTACGTACACTCATGATTTTACAGGTATGACTTCACATTAATATAGGTAAAAGAACAAATGAGACTATTTAACATATGTTGTTGCAAGTTTTTATTCTGATATTTCCCCTGTTTCTCAGTCTATTCGCTAAGTAAGGAAGGTGATAAATTTCTCTTAGTAGGTAGCTTCTTATTTCATTGGTTCTTATTATTTTACAAAGGGAATGGATATGCTTTTCTATAAAGGTAATGTTCAACCCCATTCTTTATTTACTTTACCAGAATAATAAGACATATGTTTTCATTAAGGTCTGGGGCCCATGAACCCCCTTGAACTGGATGATTACCATGAAAAAGAGGTAGCCAGCTTAACTGGACAGACAGGATTTGACCCAGAGCCTGTAAGTAATTAGTCAGTCTCAGTTATTTAGAGGGAAAGTACCAGATGCTGGGACTTTTTTTTTTTTTTTGCCTGTTTTTTGTTGGTGGTTTGGTGTTTGGTTTGTTGGGTTTTTTTCATTCAAAAAAAGATTTATTTTTGTGGTTAAAGATTTATCTCTGTGCTAAGTGATTTTCTGTTGCTGTCATTAAAACAATGAGCAAGACAAAATCCCAACTCACATTCCCAGTAGAGGAAAACTTAATAAATAAGCAAGCAAACAAGCTCATTTAAATCGACACATACACAGAATTAAGCATAACTGGGTAATGAGCTAATCATTGGAACTATGTGCACCAGAGAAGCCTTTCTGAAGAGATGACATTTCAACTGAAAAGAGAAGGGGAAAAGTCATAAGGATTGGGATTGGAACTATCTAGATTCAGAGAGTTAAGTGAGGTGGTACATGAGACTATTGGTCCTAAAATTTACTGGTTCTGCCATAGGATTAAATAGGCACATCATTTGGCTGGCAATTTTTCAATTCCTTCCCACCTGAGTGAAGTAAGCAAAACATAATCCTTTCACTAAGGATTAATTTTACCCTTTTAGCACGTTGCTAGTGATCTCTGATAGGAATTTGCACTGTTAATCCAAAGGTGCTTTGCCTGTTTTTTTGATTCATGACTGTTGGTGGCCAAGTTAACCAAGAGAAATTTTTACTCATTTTAAAACTTAATCCTGAATTGATCCAAATTAGTTTAAACACCCTTGTCTTTTATTTGGAAGAACAACAAAAGTGCCTTTTCCCCTTCACAGTTCTGCTTTTACAGACTTTTCTACTATATTACTCGTGCAATAAATAAAAAAGAACAGTGTCTGATTATTAACTCAATGAGATTCTTCAATGATTGTCTTTCTGAAAGCATATTTATATACCTTGTATATTATAATTGCTTTTAAGTATATAAAGACTGTTGGATGCATTAGAACTAAAAGCTAATAAATTCTCTGTTGACAGCAATAGGTATTTCTTAATTGTATGAAATGGCCTAAATGGAATCATCAAACCTTTTAGTGAAACAAGTTATAAACTGTTGGCTTGATTATGTAAATGATATAATATGGCCCTATTCCTATGTAGATATGTTATTTTACTTGGGGCCTAAACTTTATCCTCAAAAACCACAAAATTTTCAGAAAAAGTTATTCTTTTCAGAGATGTAAACTGTACAAAGATACATTTTTTTAAAAAACCCAACCTGTGAGATTACTTCAGTGTTAGATGCATTTAGATTGAGCTGAACACATTCGTTTCAAACTAGCTCTAGTATTTCCTGAAGTGAAATAAAATTAAAGAACCAGATTAGTTCCATAGATGATGCCTTATCATTCACTGAAGGAGTTTTTTTTTTTTAACTGTACTAAGTACTCTCTAAAACTATGTAAAACACCATATGTACACTCTGGCGGTTCAGTGTGTTCAGACTAGATTTAGCCAGTAGGATCTAGCAAATCAGGAAGTCGCTTCATATTTTTTTACAAAGAAATACATGTATGGTTATACAAAGTATGCTTGCCAAGGATATGTAAGATTTTCTGCAAGTAAATCAACATTTAAATATTAACAACAAGACAAAACTTGCTTTAAATAGTTCAATGCTCAAAAGAAAGTCCTAGTTAATTATGTGGGTTTCTGACTGAAGTATTCAGTAATGGACCCTGGGACACGTATTTGTGTTAGAATACAGTAAATATACTACAAATTGCTTCCTGCACAAAGGGATATACTGAAAGTAGGATATGATAACCCCTAGCCTTTTTTATCTGTTTATGACAGTTTTTAAAGAGCATTTAAAATACATTCACCTGATTAGCCTAAGGTTATAACAAATTTCTTAATAATTCAGGATGGAAATTCCTCCAACTTCAGACAGATTTATTTCTAAAAGGATTTTAAGCCCATATGAGAAGTTATTATTTTCTCACCACTTTCATTTTTATTATCCCTGCTGTCAATTCCATCATCATCATCATCATCATCGTCATCACCTTTTAATTGTTTCTTGGATTTTTAATATTTTGTTACTGTAAAAATTTCAACCCTATATAAAAATATAAGTAATTCTACAGTTTATACCCATTTAAACCCATCACTAAGATTTTTATCATGACCATTTTACTATATTTGTTTAAGAAATTCTGGTGGTGCAATGATTAAACACTCACCTGTTACCTGAAAGGCTGACCACTCCCCCCCCCAACCTCTCAGGAGAAAGATGTGGTGGTCTGTATCTGCTGAGATCACTGCTCTGGAAACCCTGTGGATGGTGCTACTGTCCTGTAGAGGCCACTGGGAGTCAGAATTGACTCAATAACAATGCATTTAACTTAAAAATAAGTTTTTAACACTTCAGAGTAAACTGCAAATATGAGTATACTTTACTCCTAAACATTCAGCATGCATTTCATTAACCAGAGTTTAAGAATTGTGTCTGTGTGTACTTGAAGGTAAAATTTACATTCAATGAGATTGTACAGTCTTAAGCTCACATTCACAAATTTTTGACAAATACACTATTCTAACCTGAACCCCTGTTAAGATAGAGAACTGTCCTTACAGAAAGTGCCCTCACATCCCCTCCTCCTGCCATCCTCTCCTCTCAGACATGCATTGGTTAATAACACTTTTAATACACTCACTGCTTTTGCAAGTACCAGATGACTAGCAGTATTTATAAAATACCTCAAAAAAGTGGCACAGACAAGACAAATTCCTCTCAGATCAGTGCTTCACCAAAGCCAGGGAGCCCACCGCCCACCTCCCACAACCTGAGATACTTCTTAATGCTTCCCATTCCTGAGCCAACCTGAAGAACAGTCTAGGATAGTCAGGAATAAGGATCTCACCTTATGCCCACTTTGAAGATGATCCTGATTCATCTAAGGTGTAAAAGCTCCCTACCTTCACCTAATAAAGGAGGCTTTGGCTGCAACATAAATAACTATGTGCTTTTGATGCTGCCAGTCTGCGAAGGGTAGAGGTTTTGTTCCAATGATGATTTCATATATTTAGGAGTTTTTTAAAAAGTTCCTACATGAAGGAACTTCTCTATATATAAGTTTAAAATTGTCTTTTCCAGCTTAGTAAAAACCAATAGAGGAGATAAACAAATGTATTACCACCCAAATTTCAATAGGGTTCAAAAGAAATACCAGAGAACACTGCAGTGTGTATTCCTGCATCCACCCCTTGTTTACTCAGTGAGAATGAGTGTGACTTTTGATCTGCCATTCGTAGCAGCATCTTCATAATGCCTTATTTATTAATGAATTGATTTCCTTTTTCTTATTCCTCCACTACAGAAAGAAAAATTCCATTCTACCATAAAACCTGTCAGACCTTTAGAAGGACGAATCGCCCGATTAATTAATGAACAACGTCCTCTGGAAGCCACCAGCCAAGAAAAGCCACCTCCCTGTCCAGATTGTACACCTACAGTTTTGTGTACTTTTCATACCTTTATACCCAGTTCTGAAGAAATGAGAGCACTTAATGACACCACACGGGCTGGAGTGACTCATAAAAACCAGGACACAGACAGTAAGATCAAAGAAGAACAAAACTTGCTATCTACCTATACAAGTCCATCTTGTTACCCATCAAAAGATCTGACTGACCTTTATAACCTAAAAATGTTTCCAAATGTCACTGATACTAAAAAGACAGATGATTTGTACTGGAAACAGCTGGCATTAAAACCCCAAGCTATACCTTACTCTAAAGCAAACAATTATGTCCACTATGAACATTTTAAATCTGACCAGTATACTACTATGTGCCAAGATCCTAATAGCCTTAGTAAGCCTAGTATTGTACAAAATAAGCAAGGCAGAGAAGCTTTCACTTTAAAACAGTTTTTTGGTAAGCCAGAAGAACACCAGTTGGCCTTCAACATGGAAAATGGAGAAACAAGACCTTTTCTGGGTTGCATCCCCAGAGTTGGAATGGCCATGCCTCAGAGCAACCTGCTGGATCTTAAGAATTCTTTTTCAAAAACTGGTGCACGAAAACGTTTCCATAAATCAATTCTAGATGATCACAAAGACCTCAGAGATAAGGAACATTCAGGAATGAAGCACCAATTCTATGGCCATAATTCCTATTATTTCTATAACTGAAATTTCCATGTATTCCTTCAAAATTCATCCTCTTACAAGAAAAGAAAAAAAATATTAACAGGACTTCCTTCTTGGGTTCTGTTTTGAAGATAAACCATAATACTCTTGTTAATGAAGTTTATGTTTTCAGGAATTTAAGTTAGAATCTGGTCAGATGAACCTAGCTGATGTTTTGATTTCTTGAAAAGTTTAACAGTTTGTCAATAAAGATTAGAACTAGAAAATGTATAGTCTTTAACATCATTTTCAAATTATACTCCAAGGAAAAATTTCCAAAATCATGAAAAGCAATGTGTACACCAAAACTTACCTCATTGTTGTTTTAAAAACGTAGAATTTGAAAAAAGGCACACTTGATTACTGTGAGACACTATACAAGCTATTGTACCTTAATAAAATAATTATGTGAAAACTGTCCCTTTATGTAAATGTTTATACAAAATAGCATTCTGTGGGAAAGAAAAATTCTAATGTTTAGTTAATTGAGGAGTGGGCAACTATTCAAACTGTATTATAAAATATGTGGTGTGTGTATATATATATATGTTGTTATTGTTATGTGCCATCGAGTCGCCTGCGACTCATAGCGACCCTATGTACAACAGCCCTAAACTCCGCTCTGTCCTCTGCCAATCGCACTGTCTCTGACACTCCCATCCCAATTATCCCAGTCACTGAATCAATCCATCTCATAGAGGGCCTTCCTCTCCTGCGCTGTCCCTCCACCCTCCCAAGCATGATGTCCCTCTCTAAGGACCGGTCTCTCCTCACAACATGTCCAGAGTATGTTAGATGGAGCCTCAGAATCCTTGCCTCCAAGGAGCCACCCGGTTTAACCCTTTCCAGGATGAATCTGTTTGTTTTCCTAGCAGTCCATGGTATTCTCAATACTCTTCTCCAGCACCACAGCTCAAAGGCGTCAATTCTCCTTCTATCCTCCTTGGTCATTGTCCAACTCTCTGATTGAAAAACCATGGCCTGTATCAGACGTACCTTAGTCTCCAGAGAGACACCATTGCTCTTCAGCACTTTGGAGAGGTCCCTAGCAGCAGACTTTCCCATGGCAATGCGCCTTTTAATTTCCTGGCTGCTGGTGCCAAGACTGTTGACTATGGAGCCAAGCAAACTAAAGCTGTGTACAATCTCAATCTCTCCACCATCCATCCTGATGCTGCCAATTGGTCCAGTGGTGAGAATCTTTGTCTTCTTGACATTGAGCCTCAATTTATACACACACACACACACACACACACACACACACAGAGACATACATATATATAAATAAATAATAAATAAAAGCAGGAGTGGAATCCACTTCCTAAACAACATGCCTGCCAAAACTCTATGAACTTTGATAAATGTCAACAGTTATAGAAAGGCTTCAGGTCTTTTGTTCATAGGGTCATTATGAGTCATGCTCGACTAGAAGGCAATCAACAACAACAACATATATGTGTGTGTGTATATATGCATTTTATATATATACCCTAAATACTCCATATGCACATACTACTATTAGAACAGTTGGATATGCATCTTTTAACTTTTTGATAGAGAACAGAAATGATCATTTGGAAGGGGAAGAGGGTTGTGGGTGGGGTTTATTTGTAACTTTAACGGAAGTTTACAGAAAGGTTGGATTTTCATTCTTCACTGATGCACAATTTCCTTCCTCCCCTGCCCCCCATCCTGCCCCATCCCATCACACCCCATTCACTTTGTAATGTACTTCTTATTCTAGATTGTTGATTAAAATGACTCTTTTTAAAAGGCATATAAGGATTTTATTGTGGAGGTACTGCAATGGCTTTAATTAGTAATTGTTGCATTCCAATTGTGGCAGGAAAGCACAGTTTAATACCAATCCCCAATACTAATGCTCAAAAATTATAATTTAAAAAAAATGTCCACTAGCAATTTAGCTGTGTGATCCAAGTCAGCTAATTTACTGAGCTAAGAAATACATATTTCTTTGTTTTGTCATTCTTGTTTTATAACCAGCATGTCATTTGATTCCAACCTCCTTAAAACTATCCTGGATTAGTTACAGAATTTTCCCCAAACTATATTCTATACAGTACTAGTTCCAAGATATTTATGTATGATGAGAGAGAAAAAAATTTTTTTCCCCTATAATTATATTTTATTAATTTT